GCTGCAGAGGCTCAGCTTGCCCCAGGAACATCCCGAGTTGTGGTGAACATTTGTTTCTGGGTGAGGTCTCTCCTTCCTCTGCCGCACCCCCAGTGACGGTGGTAAATACATGTGGGGTGATTTCGCACGACCTTACAATAATCCAATTTTTCAGTTGTGGGGAATGCTAGAAAGACAGGAGGCAATGTTACAATCTGCCCTACAGCATTTTTTAAGGTAGCTCTCCTGTAACAGGGAACCAAGTTTTATTGAGAAGAGCTATCTTTAATCAGAAAAATATACCAAGGAAACGTGTTACATTGATTTTACTACTAAAAATTGAGATTCTGGAGCAAAGGCAATTGGTATGAGTCAGAACCTTGAAGTTGATGAGCCACGTGCCGCTGGGCAGGGCTCCTGATTGCTTAGTGCGATCTGAGAATAAGTATGTCCACGTCTATACAGCTCCTGAGCTCATCCATCTTGAGGGGTTACCCACAACTGTGCTGAGCACAGTTGTTTATATTCACACATATTCGTTCAATTCCAATTATTAAAATAATTAGGCCACAATACGGTTTACCCAGATAATTTAGCATTCTTACCAAATTTACCATTAACTAGTGACTTGAGGATTCTGTGATCAGCTTCTATGGCAAACAAGAAAAATACAACCAAAATGTCATAGATGCAGTTGAGCCTTGAAAGTATCGTGGCAACGTGCTGCTAAAAGTGTCCATTTGGTGAAAGGCACAAATGTTGGCAGTTGTCCATACTAACCCTGCTCATGTGCAGAGGTTCCTTCAAAATCATTAGAACTGCTAGCTCTTTCTTCATTAAAATAAATGCATACTGAAGTCATACATTAGCTGTCTCTTTGTTTTGCAATCAATTAAGGCAGGTTTTCAACAGCTAAATTTCTCCAAATGTTCTCTAATGGGTTTCATTTATATTCTGCTTTTCGAAATTCAGATATAAAAGGCATTGGCATCATTAATATCCTTTTCAAAAAAACGTCTTTCAGATCATTTGAATGGCTATACATTTGGGTGGAATCCTTCTGTATCTGGGTTGTAACAGGCACAATGAAAGCAGTGTATGAATACAGTACTGCAGCTGTTCAAAACATCGCCACCCCTATTGCCGTCACTGAACGGTTTGCTAGGCACTACACAGGAGTACAAAATTCCCCAGTAAAGTGAACACACTTTTAACACATATGAACATACTTAAAACCTCAATTTTCTCTACGCTATTTAAAAACCTAATGCACTATCATCATGGGTTCACAGTAAAGTTCTGTCCTTCTGCAAAACTGCCTGTAGCTAATCTTACCAGTGAGGCATGCATGAGAACACCGCTGTCTTCTCATGTGTATTACTAAATTTGGTAATATGTTATTTTTTTGGAGGAGGAAAAGTATATACGATTTTATTTTCAGATTATATCATTTATTTAGGGTTTTCTATTTCTATTTCTATACTCTTCATATGACATTCAGTATCACATTGTGAGAACGAAATTATGTGATTCTGTTCCAGCACTAATAACATTTCATTTAAGATATAAGACAGCTTTTTCTGTCTCCTGGGGACAATGTAGACCATGAATAGTAAACTACTTAGCGGTTCTGGAAGGATAAGTGTTTTTTTCTAGTTCTGCTGTGCAACATGGGTTCTCTCCCTTGTGGAGAGGTGAAATGGGTAAAGAGTAAAATGTATTAAAGGAGTGACATGAAAAATTCTTAGCATTCTCTTCTTTGGTATCCTACAAACTCAATCTCTCAGAAATTTAATATCTGTCAGCATTTTGACAACCAAGAGCCCGTTTGATTCCCAAACCTTTGATACTTTAATATTCTTCTCATCAGATTCTCAACTCACCCCCTCTCCCAAAATAAGCCACCAACCCTTCGCAAACACACCAAGCCTGAGGCGGATCTAAGTGGATTGCATGTTTCTACCATTATAACATTAATTTTGCTGTTGTTGTTGTTATTGTTGTTTGAGATGGAGTTTCGCTCTTGTTACCCAGGCTGGAGTGCAATGGCGCGATCTCGGCTCATCACAACCTCCGCCTCCTGGGTTCAGGCAATTCTCCTGCCTCAGCCTCCTGAGTAGCTGGGATTACAGGCACGCGCCACCATGCCCAGCTAATTTTTTGTATTTTTAGTAGAGACGGGGTTTCACCATGTTGACCAGGATGGTCTCCATCTCTCGACCTCGTGATCCACCGCCTCGGCCTCCCAAAGTGCTGGGATTACAGGCTTGAGCCACCGCACCCGGCCAACATTAATGTGTTAATAAATGCACAACACGTAGTACAAAACCCCACAAATGCAGAGGAAGAGTAGGTTCTATTTCCTAACGAAGTCTAATAGAATTTCCTGTTCACAATCAGAGATTGCCAGAGAGACATGGATTTGTGCTATCTTTAATTTCCAGGCAGGTAAGATAAGCTTAGAACGCTTTAACCTCAGTTCTCACCTGCAAAGCAATCTGGCCTTGGGGATAAGAGAAGTCCTGTTAAGAATTGTCTACGGGCCGGGTGGGCGCGGTGGCTCATGCCTGTAATCCCAGCACTTTGGGAGGCTGAGGCGGGTGGATCACGAGGTCAAGAAATCGAGACCATCCTGGTCAACATGGTGAAACCCCGTCTCTACCAAAAATACAAAAAATTAGCTGGGCATAGTGGCTCGTGCCTGTAATCCCAGCTACTCAGGAGGCTGAGGCAGGAGAATTGCCTGAACCCAGGAGGCGGAGGTTGGGTGAGCCGAGATCGTGCCATTGCACTCCAGCCTGGGTAAACAAGAGCGAAACTCTGTCTCGAAAAAAAAAAAAAATTGTCTACAAGCAGGACCATACATCCATTTGAAGCAGGTATATTCTGTAAATTTACATTATCTTTTGATTGTAATTTTCAAGGCAGCAGAAGCAAAGATGACTTCCCTGGAGCTGACTGGCTGTTGCACATGGGAGGATGGTCAGCTCTAAGGAGAGTGTGGAAATTAGGGGATGGTCGTGTATGAAGTCATAATTCAGTAATAGGAGCCTCCTGGAGCTTCTGGGGTGGGGGTGGCAAAGCCAACGGGCAAGGGATGAGAAGAGGGGCAATCCTATGCTTGGAGAATCACTGATTTTTGACATGACAAGCCAGGCAAACTTGGTAAAGCTATTTGAGTATATCAGCAGCGGTTTCCAGAAAGTATTATTACCACAGATGTTACTGCAAGATAATCAAAAGAACACATCTAATTTGGGGATGTGGAGTACTTGTTTCTGTTGCTGATTCTATCATTTGAAGCTTTCAGAGCTGAAGGCTTTCATGATTAAGCACATATTATTCTCCTGGAAGATATTTCTTTTTTGGCAGATAAGATAATGGAACAGAGCCACTGTTTGTCAAGAGGAGTTACTATGTCATTAAAAAGCCTTTAACACAATGTTTTTCTCTTTTCCATGCTGGTTGAAAAGATTTGAATGCAAAAGCATAGATGTAACAATAACAGTACAAAACCTAAATTGTCCATGGAAAAGCTTAAACCAACTTAAAACTTTGCATTTGCCAAATGCTCTTCAGGCAATTTAAATGTAATTCAAAACAGGCGCTCAGTAGCCACAGATGTGTGTTGCCTCAAAATGTTCTTTGTGTTGGTTGCATAGATCCATTTTCTTTCTGAAGGTGCTTTTAAAAATTGCCTCTACTGCTGCAGGAGGTAACAAAAAATCAAAATACAATGATATAATTGATATGATTAAATTTTTTTTATTAACCCTGGAAAAGTATTATCATTTACTTCAAAAAATTATTAATTATACTGTTTTGTTGAACCTTAAGAATAATTCCAGAAGGGCCTTTGCAGGGTAATAGGAGTTTATTCAATGCCTAGTATTCTGAATTCAAAGAGATGATCTGAAACTCCCCTCACTTTAGCAATAGATACAGAGGAGCTTCTGTTTTTGCTCATTTGTACAAAGAGGGCACCACACACTTTGTACACACGTGTCCATGAGAGGCCAAAGACACGCCCTAAATATTTTTCAGAAGCTCCTCAGTACAGCTAGGTGCCACCCCAGGAAGTCTGTTCCCTCTAACACTGTAGAATTGTGATGCTCCTTGATCAATTGACGGTTCAGGAGACACCTGAACGAAGGAAGTTATGAAAGATTTCTGGGGACCTTTTGGAAGTGAATCAAGGTTCCTAACTGAAATAAACCACACGATGTTGCTCTAAGACCTTAATTTGCCATCTCTGGTCTGGGCCTTCACAGGCACTATGTGCTATTGAACTCCTTAACCTGCCCTGTCTCCAGTACAGTGGACTGGACTTGGGGCACTGCTCCACCCAGAGAATGGCCTAAAAAGGGAACTCATTCCTTAGGGAAGGTTCTCTCCTGTACCTTCTGGGTCTTTAGGAGAGGCCTCCTGACCTTTTGAGTCACCTCATTCAATCATCCTGTAACCTGACTGGGAGAGGGTGGTAACAGAGATCCAAGACTTTGCTTCAGGCTGGTTGGATGGAATGGGTGCTGGCTTCCTCATTAAACTGGTGTATGGAACTTTCCTAAGTCTCAGCTCCTTGCGAATGGCATGAGATTAATAGTATTCCAAAATTAGCCAGGTGTGGTGGCGGGTACCTGTAATCCCAGCTACTTGGGAGGCTGAGGCAGGAGAGTCACTTGAACACGGGAGGCAGAGGTTGCAGTGAGCTGAGAGCATGCCATGGCACTCCAGCCTGCGCAACAAGAGTAAAACTCCATCTCAAAAAAAAAAAAAAGGATTAGTAGTATTCATCTCATAGAAAAGTGACAACTAAATGAGGTTTTACATATGAATGCCCAGCACAGTGCCTGCTACACAGTAAGCGCTCAATAAATACTAGTAAGCTGTAGGAGCAGTGGCATCCACGGTAGCTGTCAAAGTTATGGAAGGAAATGCTTGACATTTTGTGAGCTTGGCTATGGAAATGTTTAATAAAATACCCTTCCATTGTGACACTACACTTTCTTTTTTTCTCTCAGCTTCCGTGCAAATACACTGTGACTTCAATTTGATTTGTCAGTGTCAATGTGGGACAAAAATCATCAAGTTCTGGCTGGGCGCGGTGGCTCATGCCTATAATCCCAGCACTTTGGGAGGCCAAGGCAGGTGGATCACGAGGTCAAGAGATCGAGACCATCCTGGTCAACAAGGTGAAGCCCCCGTCTCTACTAAAAATACAAAAATTAGCTGGGCATGGTGGTGCGTGCCTGTAGTCCCAGCTACTCGGGAGGCTGAGGCAGGAGAATTGCTTGAACCCAGGAGGTGGAGGTTATGGTGAGCCAAGATTGTGCCATTGCACTCCAGTCTGGGTAACAACAGTGAAACTCCATCTCAAAAAAAAAAAAATTATCAAGTTCTGCCTATAGCTCTCTGGTGGCCTATCCTCTCCCATTTAGAGCCTACTCATATTGGGTAGTGGGAAGGTAATTGATAAAGCAGCAGATTTTTGCAATCCATTCTCTTACTATGGGACTTCTTTTGCAATCCATTCTCTTACTATGGGACTTCTTTGTAATCTTTCCATAAACAGGTTAATGGTAGAGTTGGCAAACACCTAAACATTGTTTAGGATGTACCTGTTTGGGTAGGATTGTTTGTAGTAACCAGACCTGGAATCTACAAATAGATGGAGCATGACCCCGTAGAATACATCACATATATATGCTATGTGACTGTGAGTATAAGACAGAAAACCTTCATACATAATGTGGCCCTCTTCTGTGCAAGTGATGTTAACTCTACATACACCTTGTAATCCCAGCACTTTGGGAGGTCACACATGATCCATGGAAGGAAAGGTCCTGGAGCGCTGCACTGAGGGTAGCGGACCTCTCCCTGCTTTTCCTGTGGCTCACAATGACCTCTGAAATTACTAGTAAAGCTTGATGCTGGGTGAGAGCTCAGGTTCTCTGGCACCTTTATTGACAATCGGAGCCTGTGTGCTATGTCAGGTAGGAAGGTGAGTGTCATGGAAGGTAGTACAGTGCCTGGTGTACAAAAAGTCCCCGCCCCCAACAATGCTTGTTGAATAAAAGGATAAACGAATAAGACAGTAAACAGACAAATGAATGAGTGAATGAACGGGGACTTTTTCTTCCTACTGTCAGTTGCAAATCACCAGAAGACATTAAAAGAAACAAAATACCCAAGAGCGATTCTTTAATCGTGGGTTTCCAGGCATCTTGATTGGCTGAAAAGGAGGAAAGAAGGGCAGGAGACTCCTGAAACTCTTCAGACTTACCCTCCTTCCTGTTGCAAGTGCTTGTTTGGATTTTCTGGGGCATGGGGGAAGCACTTTTTAAATTTTTTTTAAAGGATAAACCAAGATGAAATTGTCTGAATTTAAGTCAAGGAGTAATTTGGTCTGATTATACAGTACTTAAGTCTGAGCCTGTATGACATTTGCTAATTGGCCTGACTGCAACCACCTTTAAAGAGCCATTATGTGGAACAAAACAGGTTATTGAATTCATAAACAGAGAGAGCACTTACAATCAATTTTGGGGCTTATCATACATTATATACATGTGTCAATGTATCACATGTACATCATAAATATGTATAATTGTTACGTATCAATTTAGAAAAAAAATTTAGGACTTAAAAAAGCATAAAACAGCCAAGGCCCACTAAATACATTTTGAAATTACAGATTTTCCGGCAGTGTATAACAAGCTAAGTTGCTACACTCTAAGATTGCTTCTTAGCACAAGGAGATTCTCCATTATATGCAAATCAAGCCGGCATCAATGAATGGAATCTTGTTGGTCTTACTGGAATAGACTTAAGGGGAAAATAGAAGTGCCCTGGAGAATAACTTATCTTTTCTTTTTGGAGAAGACCTTTTAAAGCCCTGTGTACTGCCGGCGCGGTGGCTTATGCTTGTAATCCCAGCACTTTGGGAGGCCGAGGCAGGTGGATCATAAGGTCAAGAGATCGAGACCATCCTGGTCAACATGGTGAAACCCCGTCTCTACCAAAAATACAAAAAATTAGCTGGGCATGGTGGCGCGTGCCTGTAACCCCAGCTACTCGGGAGGCTGAGGCAGGAGAATTGCCTGAACCCAGGTTGCGGTGAGCTGAGATCACGCCATTGCACTCCAGCCTGGGTAACAAGAGAAACTCCGTCTCAAAAAAAAAAAAAAAAAAAAAAAAGCCCTGTGTACTTTTTTCCTGAAAGAGTAGGACACACATGATGCCTTCAAGCTTTTAGGCTACAAGGCGTTCGTCACAGACCTCGCTGAGGGTTTTTTCAAGGTTCAGGATGTTGTCTTTGTCACTGCAAAGAAACCAGAGCTAAATTGATAAAGTTCTTTATAAATTAGACTTAAGCAAAGCAACTGGAAAACTCCAAATAAGAAAACTCTACCGCTGTAAGTTCTGCTCATACCTGTTTTGCTCTCCGTTGTACTGAAGTCACACTGTCTGGCACAGAAGTTGATATCAACCTACTTACCTTTGTTCTAATGCCTGATACTTCAAATGTTTATGTGGCCATCGGGTACTTCCCACATCCAGCCATGCCTTCTGGTCTTGAGCCCATTGTTTGAGAGCAAAACTGAGAAGCCACAGTTTGCTACTGCTGCTATGTTTGTGACAATTTCCACAAGAGCACCAGGATTCTGGGGTCTGCCGTGGGAGCTATAGGCTAGCTAACTTCAGGATAAGATTTTTTTTTTTGAGACGGAATTTCGCTCATGTTACCCAGGCTGGAGTGCAATGGCGCGATCTTGGCTCACCGCAACCTCCACCTCCTGGGTTCAGGCAATTCTCCTGCCTCAGCCTCCTGAGTAGCTGGGATTACAGGCACACGCCACCATGCCCAACTAATTTTTTGTATTTTTAGTAGAGACGGGGTTTCACCATGTTAACCAGGATGGTCTCGATTTCTTGACCTCGTGATCCACCCGCCTCAGCCTCCCAAAGTGCTGGGATTACAGGCTTGAGCCACCGCGCCCGGGCAGGATAAGATATTTAAGGAAAGCAATCCTGTAATTATGTTAGCAAAGATTTGTAAACAGAAAGAAAAGCTACAGCCTGCCAAAGTATTTTTAAGAAGAGGCATACTGTTGATTTATTCCACATTTAACAACTGATATAAATAAGCAAATTCCTGCCTTTTGTCATGTGTCAGACATTCTGTCCTCTAGAAGAATGGCATCTAAAAGAAAAACACATCTGGTTTCTGAGCCCAGCCCTGTCATCAATAAAACAGATGGGTTTAAAAGAGACCAGAAGGCAGGACCACAAAGTAAGCTACATGCATTTTTCTAACTGCAATTTCCTTCTTGGTAATTTGAAGCTTGATATAGTCCCTGAATATTGAAACTCCATTTCATGCATTTATAATGTTATATGGAATATGAAAAATTAGAAATAGGAATTTGGTGGGAACAGAGTCTGTTGCCCACATTTAAATCCTTATATTTACCATTCAAGGGTTTATCTCTAATGATAGCAGTGTGCTAGAACACAAAGAGATGAACACAAGGAAAAATGCGTTCACCAAAAATTACACTTTGAGTTCCATCTTTGGGTAAATGGCTTGCCATCTTTCATTTTCGTATTCTCACCTTAAAGTAAAAGATTAGGCAGATGATCCCCTATATTCCTATTATCCTTAGAATTCTAGGACTTATACACACGCTGATGGAATTCTTCACTGGTATAACCTTTCCAAAGGACCATATTTATCAAATATATCAAAGACCCCAGAAATGATCAAATATTTTGACTCAGCAATTTCACTTTAAATTGTATATCTTGAGGATATAAACAGGCATGTATGCAAATATGTATGTACAAGGTATTTATTACAGAGTAGTTTATAATAACAAAATTTTGGAAGCAATAAAAATATTGAGTCATAGATGATTAGTATGTAAATATGTGAGAGTATATTCATAGGCTTGAAAAAATATTTTCTATGTCAGTCTCAGCAATATTTCCTTTGTATTAAATAGCATGGCTAAAAAAGGAAAATAGCCAAACTGTCCTGGACAATAAGTTTTGGGCAATGAAATTCACAGTCAGTAGCCTCTGACTAAAGCTTTGGCTCTGAGCTTTCAGAAGTTCTCCATACCTGGGGCTCTAGCAAAGGATTCATCAAGACAGGAGGTTGCTTTAGTTCAATATTAAGATTCAGTGTTGAGGTAGGAAAATGAAGAGGGGACCAGGGCCTGGCCTGAGAGTCACTCATCAAGCTGCTGTTGGTGCTTGGGAGTGTCCTGGTATAAGGGGAGATTCAGGTCGGCATAGCTTGGTATTCAAACAGTTGGGCATTAAGTGACACCAGAAATCCAGATGTGTCTTCTTGGTGGGCAGAACACAGACAACGATGCGCAATACAGTCAGGTGTCCAGGTAAGAGGTAGAATTACAGGAGTCTTCCAGTTGGTGGGGCAGGCCTCAATGATGGGCTGGGATTCAAGAAAAAGGAAGAAATTGTGGGAAAAGAGGTAAAGAAAGAGAGGTCACTGTATTGTTTTCTGAGCATGGGATACATGGGGTAGAGAGGTGTGGGAATTTGATCTTGCAATGAAGAGCCCCCTTCTCAGAACAGGTAAGGCAAGGAGTGACAATTTAGACTCATCATTCAAAAACTTCACTAAGTGGATCCACAGCTCTCATGGATGTAACCAGGAGTGCGTCTCCAAGCTCTGTTCCTAATCGAGGTCTCACGGGTGGGGAATGGTAAGCCTGCAGTGGAAAAGTGAGAAGGTGGTGACACTATGATCTGCTGTGTGTCTCTGAGATCTCTGCTGCTCTGGGATCTTTGCCTTCATGGGGAACAGACTGAGGCTGTAGCCTTGGTCAAATTCATGCCAGCCAGCTGGCAGAAACCAATCCAAGGACACAAATGGAGCCACACATAAGCGTGTGAGATGAGGAATTTGATGGTTCACTTTAAATGCCACTCTGTTTTTCAGCTCCATGAAAAGTTTTATTTTACAACTGTTTTTGGACTTACCATGTAGCAGCAATGTGTCTTTACAGGTGTCTACTGCATAGACCTCACGCTGCAGTCCAATGATCTGCTTAATTATGACAAAACATAAAACAACCATAAAAAAAGACAAAATCATATTATGAAATAATACAATATTATGTAATGTGTAGCAGTAAAATATATATACCCAAAACCATGAAAT